GGGGAAAAAATAAAAACCAAGAGAGATTATGTAAAGGTGCAAATTTCCAATGATGAATGTCATTGTATTGTATACCTAAAATGTAGCAACAAAATTCATTAAAAAAAAAGGAAAAAATCCACCTTTCTTAACCAAAAGTATTGATAGGGAATGTGCGATCATGAATATTCAACAATCATCATGTAACTATTTGGGGGGACTTTACATAATAGCAAAATACTTATTTCCCATAGAATTACTGATATTTAATGCATAACCTATAGTAAATACTAAGAATTTAGAGAGCCAACTTATCTATCATTTTTCATACCTAATACCAATGGACTGAATGATTGCATATTGCTTTGGCAGATGACTAGCTTTCAAGATACCAATTTAAGGACAAGTAGGTTTATTTGTGAAATTCTTCTGAAATTATATTCTACATTTGTTAGTAACAATAAACATATTTTCCCCTTTTTCTCTGGCATGTCAGAAATACTTTTAAAAAGAAATTTTTCTTAGGCAGTTTAGAAATAAAGTCAATTTTTCCCATATTAAGTTTCAGCCTTGGGATGACGGTATTTGCTCTATTTATTGTTTTATTAACCTGCCATTTGGTTTAAGGGAGCTCTGATCAGCAGTATACCAGAAGAAGTCTATATTGTTTTAATTTTAAATCTGAATATATAATATTTTCTGAAGCAGCAGAACAGCAGTGATACAAACTGGACCACCCTGTTCCAAGAGCCCCAAGGCACTCTGAGTCTCTGTCTAAATAACTTGCAACTATCTGGACCATGTCTCTCCGACCAATGACAAGCTTATGTGTGGTTCCTGATAGGAGAAGAAGCCAGGCACATATACTGCTCAGCCAACACACAACCTACGGCAATGGGCACTCAGGCAAGGTGGGGGGCTGGAGGGCAGAGGGCCACCCTGCATACTGAGTGAGTCCAGTGTTCAGATAATATGTATGTAGAATTTAATAAGTTATAGGGATGAGGAAGAGAAAGGCATTTTTATCTATGTAGCTCATTTTCTTAAAGGAAAAAAAAAAATCTCAACCAAAGCTGATTCTCAGAGGAGTGCCAGTGGAAGTTTTTGTAATCCTAGCCCAGCTAAATGGAGCTCTGGACAGTCACAGGCTACGACGCTGGAGGCCCTGGATGAATACCTCTAGAACCTTGCCCACAAACTGTCCAGGTCCACTCCTCTAGCATCTCTGTGACTAATAATCTCCCCTACAACCAATCTGCTCATACTTCTTCCATGCTTAAATATTACAGTTGCTCCCTAGGGTCCAAGGCAACATTTCCCAAAATGAATACCCTAGAATAGTAATCCCATGTGATTTCCTAGGAAAGAAAGGGGTTTTATACAAAGGATATGTTGCATAGTAGAACAGCTTCTTTTGGAATTTCAAATGTATGTTATGCTTTCTATCATAAAGACTTTAAGAAGTCTTGCAGTGAAGAAAACTGCCAACTGTTTACTTCATCATTTCCAAACTTAGTTGACCATGGAAAACACTTTCAATATAACAACTATTAATAAATTATAAACGTTTCATGGAATGTATTATAAAGCTCTCTTTAGCAAGGTGCACTAGAGCCCTAACAGATTGGCTTCAATCTACTTTTTCAGTCTCTTCTTTACTTTCAAACCACACCCTACTCTTCCTTTACTAAGCCTGCTACGCACAAATGTATTTGTTTCTTAGTCACACAGTTCTTTTTTCTGTAGTATATGTTTGCAATACATAATGAATATATTCATTGTGAGGTATTGATACATGCTATGTTGTATCTTGATCCTTTTTTACTTCCCCTTCCCCACTGCTCTCTCATTTTTGTACATTCCTGTCTGCCTTGAAGAGCGGGCTCAAATATAACTCCTATGACATCTCACACACCTCTTAATTCTACCCTTCTTCTTTATCCCCTAAATAATAATAATAATAACTTTACAATTCCATAATCCTACAGTCTTTTTACCACCTGTCTCTTCTTTCTTTATTGCTTTAGTTATTTATGCCTGCATTTCCTGACTCAAGCATAATGCAGGGCACATAGTAAGTGTTCAGTGAACACTGGATGAAGGAATCTACAAATACGCATTAACAAGCCAATTCATTTCACTGAAGTTTTGCAGGGTCTTTCAGTTTTACATAAATCAGAGGAAAGAGTGGTTAAAAGATACTTTGAGGAGTCAAAGGGAGGGAATAAGGTAGGACAGAGAGCAAATACTTATTTGAGAAGTCTTTAACCTAACTTAATGTCCTTATCACTCATGAGACTGGACTTTCCTCAGTTATTTAACCGGATCCACCACCAATACTAACATGATCACCTGCTGAAGGCAAAAATACTGTTCCTATAAGAATGTTTCACTTTGTGGAATGCTCTAAACATAGTGCTAAAGAAGGAACCATTAATCTAGCCCTCATGACAATTATTCATTTGGTATATGCAACATTTCTTCACAAAGCAACCATCCTACAATTATTTACTCTCAATTACTATATCCCAATCTTGTAGCAGGAATACATACAGAGATGCTGCTTTGTATCTTCTTTCCATCCTGCACAATCCCCGAAGCAGGTTCAAGGCAGTTTTTAGGGGATTCATGTCAAGATGTTAGAATGTGTGCTCTATTTTGGAAACTAACTTTGTAAAGTTTTACATTATCTATACAGCCCATTTGTGTAGCACCATGGAAGAGCCCTTCCTTTTCTAGTTAAACCAAGTTGCCCTCAGAATGTCAAAGCAAAGGAGATTTCTAGGAAGGATTCTACTTCTCTCTTGCTTATAGCAGAGACCATGAATAGGCTTTCAGAAATAATGTGATTCACTAGTAGCATGAACTCACTGTCCATACCCTGTTCAACCACACCCTTTTCTTCTTTATCATGTTGAATACTAGGATGCTTTTGGATTAGTAGCCTAGAAAAGACATTTTTCAAGTCCCTGCATGTTATTAATGGTAGTTGTCACAGTAAATTAAAGGTGTACTGTTCTGTGTACTACCAACTAGCAATAGAAGCTACACTAAGAACACCATTATCTAGTTAGCTCTTCTAAAGATCTAAGAAAGCTGAACATCTCATTTCGTGTCAGTTGTGACTCAGGTGTGACAGATATCATTAGCCTCATTGAGAAGCTTAGGCAAAGCAGAGATGAGAGGTTTCACGTGGTTAGAAAGTAACTGACTAGGAGAGGCCCTTGAGGATTCCTTCCACCAGACTACTAATTAACTAACTGACTGGGGGGTGGGGCAGAGAGAGAGAGGGAGGGAGAAGGCGAGAGGGAGGGGGAGAGGAGAGGGAGGAGGAAGGGAGAGGGAGGAGAGGGAGAGGTAGAGAGGGGGAGGCTGAAGGCTGCAGGACTCTGCTCCCTTTGTGTCCATGCTAGGATTCTCCCCAGTCATTCAGCACTGCCCCATTCAGAGGGAAAAGAAAATTGGAAAGACATTCACAAAGGTTCCGAGTGTCATCCTGGTCTGAAAGTACTACTTTTGAACATCTTACCTAAGCTGGACCGGGTGTTCGAACGTTCAATTATTGCTCTCTTGCTGGGATTATTTAGGACAGACCTCTTAGCAAGAGAAATGTCAGCTGTCACTCTCGTTATTGATATCCTATGAATAGGAACACAGAAGAGAACAAGCCAGTAAAAATATTACAGGGCTCTGCAAGTAATTCTTAATCACAGTACTTAATAACCACTTTACATATTACAGTGGAACCACAATATACTATGCATTGGCCACAAGTATTTTAAACAGGCGTTGGCTAATATTAAAATACAAGCAGAGCAGAATGGAGGAAGAATTTTGGCTATTTAACTGAAAACCTATTCCAGTAAAAATGCTCTACCTCCATTATGGCCTGCCTTGCCAAATTCCCTTTATAACACACACCATACCAGGAAGGAATCAAAACATAAATAAACCATGCTCTTTCTAGGAAGCAACAATATAAAATTTTCACAAGTCACAGTTGATTTCCTCTTGAACAAGACCTTCAGAACCCAGACTCTGCCCCAGCATTTCAATGCTGCTAGCCAGAGGGAGAAACCCTCTTCGTTTTGATCAAGGACAATCAACCAGTTGGAGACTAAGGTGCATTACTTGTGCTTAATAGTTAATTTATGATACATGAAGCATTTCTCCACAGGCCCAAAGGGAGTCTTTACATGTTAGAATGTGAGAAAATGCTTTTTGGTTTGTTTTCTTCTGGCATAGGATTCTGCAGCACATTCACGTATGAATGTGCTGATGGGCAATCATAAGACAGTATGGTTGAGTTCAATGTGAATGTGCTACCAAGCTTATGCAAATTAGAAAATTTCCTGCAGCCACAGCAGAATAAAGACATGCTAAATGAAAGGAGAGAGGGCTTTTATTTGGATATGATTTACCAAATGAGAACATCTGGAACGTAACATTTTAAAAACTTTATTTTAAGCTGAGATCAGTTAACTTCCATCTATAATCTACCTGTAAATGCCAAGTGTGTCTTCCTCAGCCAGTTACTGCCATCAACAGGCCTTTTCCCTACCTGTCCTCATCTTCACAGTTTAGCAGAGGTCCCTGAAAGAGGTCACCCGGTCTGCATACCCATTCCCCTTCATGTTTAAATGCCTCTGGGGTTGGAGCAGGGAAGGGAGTTTGGTTGTTAGCAATTATTCAATCACGTCATCTCACACCTGTTTTAGAACAACATTTTCAGTATTGTCAGCAGACTTAATACCTAACTCTAGTGACCTGAAGTCTTGGGGAGAATTTAAAACAGTCCTCTTCACAAACGGTTGGAAATCACCTCTTTAAAGCAACAGGCTGTGCAAAAATTCTAATGCCATTTTAAAGCAAAGCGCTGCTTGCTGTATTGTATTTATATGCTGTAGGTGATATAGACATATCAAAAGTTTTAATTTTTAGAATTTTTAGGCTTTAGTAACTATTCAAAACATCCTTAAATTGTCTTCTGTAGAAACCAAGAGTTTTGCAGAAATACCTCAGGGACCATTCAGAGAATGAGTTGGTGGGACTCCAGCTTTACAACCGTCAATTCCAAACACCTCTGCATTTGTTTATTTTGGGGTTTATATGTAATTTCACTGTAAAAATTTGTTCAACTGCTAAAATATGTTGGAAAACACTGATGTAACAACTTCCTAATTTTTACCAACAAGGAAACTGAGAGAAAGTTTCACATAGTTCTTTATGCTACAAGGGTTTAAAACTAGTCCCCTGGGAATCAGACCAAGATGTAGTCATCTGACTCTATCATTCTCTCTCAGTTCAGTTTTCTTCTCCAGCAACCTCCAATCCTCAGACATGAGTCACGTCATCAAGTGCAGATACATAACCTTGGCCTTGGTCTGTGAGATGATCAGGACTTAAGTCAGGTTGAAGTTGAAGGAACCCCACATCTAAGATTCCTTTACTCAGTTCTGAGCTCTGAGACACAAAATTCTCACAGGCAGGGCCAGGGATTTAGCTCAGTGGTTCCACTGCCTGCCTTGGGAGCACAAGGTCCCGAGTTTGATCACCGGTACAAACAAAACAAAACAAAACAAAATTCTCACAGGGAGCTTATTGTGCTTCTGGGTTTCTTGTGTTAATGGAGTTGCTGGGTAGAAACATACTGGGTATGGAATGGAGTTGCTGGGTAGAAACATACTGGGTATGGAATGGAGTTGCTGGGTAGAAACATGTTCCAGAGCAGTCCAAATATATGATGGGAGACATATGAATTCCTTTAGGGACAGTTCAACTTTCTAGAATAAAGATTTTTGGTGAGTCCAAATATTCTATTCTGCCTACGTGAAAATCAAATTTCCTAGTTCTACACAAACCAAATGGTCACTTTTGGTTCTAAAAACTTGAAGGGATTATTAATAGATTATTAACAGCACCCTTTTCAAAATAACTCTATAAGTATATTATAAAAGCATTTTTACCACATCATTTTTAAAAAAAGGCCTACTATATTAAAAACAGGAAAAGATGTGGGCAATAAATGGTTCTTTTTCTTATTTTATTTTTCAATAAAAACATAAGTTCATCAAGTTATTTTTTAATAAAAATACACATGCATGAAATAGAGCTCAGAAAAAAGGTAGACACAGCCCTAGAAACCCTTCAATATGACAAAGTATGTATCTTTTAAAGATGTTTACTGTTATCAAAGTCAGACCCCAAACCCAAATCCCAAACCCTAATATATATATATATATAATATATTTAAAACTTACATACCCCTACTGTCTTGCTTAATACCCATCTCCATAGTTTCCTTGGAAACTTTTCTGTGACATAATGAGTAGTTACATGCTGGCAGGTAAAGGAGTAATAGTTCATTTCCCCAGAAGACTGAGTGGAGCAACAAAAGTCCTTGAAAACTAGCAGAACTCACAGTGGCACCTTGGTTCACGAACTTAATTCCTTCCACAATTCTGCTCGCAAACCAAACTGGATGAGAACCGAATCACATTTCCCCATAGGGTCAACACTGAACCTAAGCATTGAATCTGTATTCTCTAAATCCAAGGAATCTGACTCCCAACTGTTGTTTATTTTTACGTTGGAGTTTATCTTAACTGCTGCAGTCTATCCAGGCATGAGGGTTAGTTTTCTGTGATTTTCTTCTGAGAGACACTACTTTCAGTTATGACACATTCATTCCAAAATAATTAGCATTTCCATGTTGCCAATATAACAGCTGTGAAATCTTTCTATACTCTATCCTTGTAACTTCTCATATGCAGTCCAGTTGGTCTACCTTTAAAAAACCTCTTTGTATTCATAGGGAAAAGTGTTCCAAAGCACAGAACAGTACATTGTCAGGACAGGGCTGAAAAGCATAAGAGCATGTGAACATTTCCTTGGTTCTTCCTCTTGGTGGTTGCATGATCATGTACAATTCATGACATCTTTTGAACCGAGGTATCCTAATCAATAAAATAGTGATAATAGATGTGTCATAACAATCTGTTGGGATTGTAATTAGGACCTAACAAGGTAATATATAAGAGCACTTTCTTAAATAATTATTCTCAATGTCCTATGTTGACAGGAACCTATATAATGTATACAAGACAATTACTAGTGATTTGAAGATTTGAAGGATACAGTTTCCTTATATCCTGCCCTCAAAAGTTAAGCAATCTAGAATTAGTTCTCCTATTTCCAGAGTTGATGAAATTCATGTATGCTGAGAGGAGTGGAGAATTAGGTCAGACATGATGTAATAAAAAATAATGTTCTTAGGTAAACATTCAAGCTTGGCATACAAACATTCAATTATCTCTAGTGTTTGAGTGTCCACTAATGAGCTGGTATTTGAATACAGATTAGTAAGAGGAGATGATGGGAATGATATTGATTATGAAACAGAAGTCACTGTTGGCTCTTCCACTTGTTGACTACAATTATAAATTGTTTTCATTCTTACACACTATGGCTGTTTTGTGATAGCATCAGTTCCCATTTCCTTTATATTCTATACTCTTAATGTGTATTAAATACTCTTAATGCATATCATCTCTTAGCATCTCCATAAATTGTACTCTTAGCTTCCTCTCTTTTGAATTCTTTTGCAATCCCTCTTTGTTTTCTTTACCTGTGTCCTGGCCAATAGCTTTCATCAGTTTAATTCTATCCTTGTAGATTTAGAATTTTAAGCCATAATCATGTCAGTTACAAAGTGCCCGATAAATGCTATAGGGCTGATTTGATTCAGCCATCCAAAGCCTAAAGTAATAACTTTTAGGGTATCTGAAAAGATTGGCATTGGTCAACACACTGCAACTGGTTTGCATGCTTGCTGTTTGGTTTAAGAATGGTAGATTCAACCAGCTGAACAAATCTTACTGTATGATCTCCAGTGCATGTTTGTGGTATTACATGAAGTGGGAGGCTTTGTGCCCACAGGCACCCACTGTGTCCTCACCAGGCTGTGAGTGCCACTGTGGCCAGTTATCAGGCTCACTTAGTTAGGGTCCGTGAGCAGCCATCGTTACTACCTGTGGTATTCACATATACAGAGGGCCCCCAGGAACCACTTAGTATCGTGCTTTTCATTTTTCTTACATGTATCGTGGTTAAGACCACAATAGCATCTACAGAAACAAAATTAGATAATAGGTCTAAACTGACTCAATTTTTAATGTGCCAACAAACACACGTTTATGATTCTGTAATAGCCAAGCAGCCCGACTTTAGTCTACTTCACTGAATTGGTTTCTCACCAAGCTCTGAAAAGGAGCATTGAATAATAAATCATCTCAGCTAACAGATTCTTTCTTTGCTCTTTCTTTTTTAAAAATATGGGGACTTTCACTTGATTATTTTGTTTAACCTACTGCATTCACAATCAATGAAACACTAAGTAGGCTTCCAGCAGAACTTACTGTTCATGCTGTATCACTGGGGTAAAGCCTTCTGTGTAACTGTTCTCTTGGATGATTTCAATTAAAAACTATTTATTGTTTTATCTCCTTTTATTAATTGGTAAAACATAATGCAGCAGATTGTCATAGCTCAAAACGTAAGGATTCTCATAGAAGGCACATTAGTCACTGAGAAGCTATCGGCCAATTTCTTCTTCTTTATTCAAGTGTCCATATACACTCACCAATAACTCAGTGGTTTTCTGCTGCACTGGCTTCTTCTTTTTTTTCCCCCATTAAATTTATTGGTACATTTTAGGTATAAAATACATTTATATACATCATTGGGATCTTGTACCATTACATGAGTCTCTTGGTTCTTTTTTTTTTTCCCTTCCCCTGCCCTCCCTTCACCCCCTCCACCCTTCCCTATTTGCAAAGATTTTGTTTCCATTTTTTTCCTTTTCTCATATTTTTTCTTTTCCCTTCTTTCCTTTCCCCTACCCCTCCCACTTCCCCTGATCCTTTAGACCTTTGCTTCCTATTAAACAATATCAATTATACATTTTTAAAATTACAATATCAAGACCTAGGAGACATTATCACAGATTTTACAGAATTTAAAAGGATATAGAAAGCATATTTTAAAAATTTGTTTTGAAATAAATTTGACAACTTCTAAGAAGTACCCTGGAAGACAAATTAATGAAACTAACTCTGGAGGAAATATAAAATTTGAATAGCACCTATTGAAGAAAGTATATTCCTAGCTTGAAAACCTACCTATATGACAATAACAGGCTCATATACATTTTAACTGATAAATTATACCAAACATTTAAAGCAGAAAAAAAAGGAACACTTCTCCCTCATTTTAGGAAATCAACATTGTGCTAATTCTAAAACTGGATAAAGATAATGGAAGAAAAAAGTATGAACATAGATAGAAATTTGTTTAACAAAACAATTAGAAGCCAGATCTGGCAGTATGTAGAAAGAGGTTTTATTATAGGGATGGCAGTGTTGGTTCAGCATTGGAAGATCCACCCCCAAAAGTCATCCTTTTAACAGAGGAAAGGAAAAAGCCACATGATCCTGTCATTAGTTGGAGAAAAAGTATTGGACTAAATTTTACAGCTGTTCATGGTAAAAGCTATCAGGAGACTAGAAGTAGAACAGAACCTTCTCAACAGATTAAAGATATGTACTCCATACTTCTAGTGAGAATGCCTTACATGAATGGAGAAGATACAATGCTTTCTCCTTAAGGTGGGGAACAGGGGCAGATATGCTTACTCTTTATCTGTCCATTAAACTTTGAAATCTAGGCCCAACCAAAACAGTCTGGCAATAAAATGACACAATTAGGATAGGATTGGCAAGGTAGAAGCAAAATCTTTATATGTAGATGAAATGATCATCTACAGAGAAAATACTAAGAAATCTCTAAGAGCCCCTAGAACTTGTATTTGAATTCAGCAGGATTAGAAAACACAAGGGATGTATAAAAATTCAGGTCTGTGTATACTTGCTATAAATGAAGAATTGGATATTGAACTTTAAAAGTTATGTAGGAGTACAAAGGACCTAGTAAAGTAAAAAGAAAACAAAAAACCAAAAACAGTGTTGGAAGACATTTAGTACCTAATTTTAAGACTTCTTCTAAAGCTACAGTAATCAAGGCAGTGTTGGTGTAAGGAAAGAGATAGATCATTTGAATAAAACAGAGAATCTAGAAATAGAACCACACATATATGGTCCACTGAACTTTGAAAGATTATTTACCATTAACATTTTACAGAATATAAACTCAGTTCAAGAGCAGAAGAAAAGATAGTGTCTTCAACAAATGGCACTAGAACACCTGGTATCCGTATATAAAAAATTAACCTCAACCCTTTATTTCCATACATGAAAATAACTTCAAGGGATCTATGAACCTAAATATGAAAGACTAAAAGTATAAAACTTTAAGAAGCAATTATAAGGGAAAATGTTTATGAATTCAGGGTAGGCAAGAACTACCTAGGATACACAAAACATGATGTATAAAAGAAAAGAACTGATAAATGAGGTTCCATCAAAATTTAGAACTTTAAATGACATCATTAACATGAAAAGTAGTCCTTAAACAGGCCATATTTACAATGCATTTAACCTATGAGCAGAATATATAAAGAACTCTTACAGCTCATTGATAGACAACCCAATTAAAAAGTAGACACAAGAAGATGACAAATAGTGCACTGGCTTCTTAACATTTGAAAGCAAGTCCACACTCACGCTCATCTTTATTATCTATATTTGTCCTACTCTGCCATACACCAGCTTCTTCACAGCTATGTCTGTCTCTCTACTTTTACTGCTGCCGGATTCTTCCTTTAGATTCTCTGCCATGTCATCAGACCCCACCAACATCTGGCATTTAAATTTTAATTCTATTTCTATTTAAATCAACTTCAATTGTGTGTCTACAGTAATTGATGTGGACAATTCTACATGACTGATTCAAGATAGATCTGGGCTGTTACAATTAAATGGATTTCCTCTTTCTGAGTCTCAGGCCTGAGGAAGACATCAGATTTTTCATTCTTGAAGCTGGGAATTAAGCCACTCACTTTTTCTTTGCTAAATTATATAAAATCCTTTCTTTTTCTTCTATCAGTCCTAGCTTTCAAAGTTTTAATGACAGTGTTGTTTATATGTCAGTTATGTGGGGACCAAGATAATCCAACACACACAGAAGCTGTGTTATGGAGTGAAATTTATTCACATCAGAGACTGTTAGGGGGCTAAAGCGTGAGGCCCTATTCAGAATGGCCTTAGGAAAAGGCACCACAGTTAAAACCAAGAGATGCCAAGCATATCTGAAGGAACTGTGCAGTTGCAGCCAAGAGCAGAGGTGTGGGCCATACAAGTCAGTGGCCTTTGATCCATGCAGCGTTCCATTAGGGTCAGTGTTATGGCCCAGCACACTACAGGGCAGAAGCACGACTATAACTATTAAGAGTCTGAGTTCAGCTGTTTCTTTGTAATATAGTCTTAGAAAGTGAATCCCTAGTAGCCAGAAGTTTTTAAACAGAAAGAGGTCATCTATCTGATTGTGGTTGTGGGAGAAGGAAGATTAAGACTTAAAGAACTTCTTTTTCTTCCAATGCCAATATTCCACAATTCAGTGCTTTTCACTTGTTTTCTTTGAAACTGGTCATTCTCTGCCTAGCCTCTTAAAAAAAAAAAGAGTAGAAAAGGATAAACATGCCTTTCTTTTCAAGCCCTTTGTGTCAGCCAGATGACCATGAAAGAGACTGTTGTTAGTTCAACACAATCTATTTCCTCTAATTTACCGGGGATAGTGAGATTATACTACCCAGGCTCCTTTCCAATGAAGTACAGCTACATGACCAAATTCTAACCAATAAAATGTGAGGAAAGGTACACATTACTTCCAGGCCCTGGATGTTCCTTTCTCCACTCAGAGTCCCCCAGTCACACCCAGGCCAAGGGCCCCGAATGACAGGTGGCACAAACTTCCTGCCCAATTTTCTCCTCCCCCACTTCACTGTCCTTCCCAGATCCAAACACGTGTTTCAGACTGTTAAGTGAGCAACAATAAGCTTCTATGGTGCTAAAATCATTATACATTTCGGGGCCAATTTATTAAAGCAAGATGGCCTATACTAATGTACTTAGGAATTCAAATAATGTCACAGAAGCATTCTTACTTCTTGAACTAAATTTTCAATTACTAGAACTAATATCTCAGTTTATTTTCTTTGTATATAGTCCCAGAAACGAATGAATTTTTTTTGTTTGTTTTTGGTACCAGGGATAGAACTCAGGACCTTTCACTTGCGAGGCAGGCGCAGTGGCACTGAGCTAAATCCCCGGCCCCTAATGAATATTTTTAACATACAATCCAGGAAGCTTTTCTTCTGACAGATATATAGATAGCTAGATATATAGATATAATTTGTACTTAAAACATTAATTTTTTCTTTAAAATACATTTATTAAAATCTTCCTGAAGATATTTAAATTTTTAAACATTAATTAGCCTATTTAAGGTGGTAAATTGGATGGCTTTACCCAAATTTCTCAATATACACTATTTAAGTTTTCATTTTTTTATAACTTCAGGTTTTTTCCATATAGTTATTTTTACATGGAGTTTATTCTGCACTGTGGAAGAGCCTGTACTCTGTACTGTCATTATGGACTTTTGACCATTTCTTTCTCAAACATAAAAACTCCATTTAGACATTTTTCACAATACTTAAATGACAAAATTATTTGATGGTTGGGCCATATCGATGATAGATCATAGGAGGATACACATAAAACAGACCTCTAAACTAACAGGGTCTGGCTTAGGATGTAGCACAGCAGTACACCGGCCTAGAATGCTTAAGGCCCTGGGTTCCAATGCTAGCTCCACAAAACAAAACAAAACAACCAAAAGCCAATGAGTGGAGCAGGAGTATCAGGTTCCTATGGTTCCAGCTACTGGAGAGACTGAGGTGGGAGGCTCACTTGTGTCCAGAAGTGTAAGACCAGTCTGGGCACCATAATAAAACGCTGTCTTAAAAAAAAGCCAATGAAAGAAATATCTATGACATAAAGTTGAAGCCAAACTCTGAAAACTAAAATAGCAAGTTCATTTCTAAAAAAAAGGATCCAAATAAGCACTATTTCCTGCAGTAGTCACTGTGGAAGGTTTGTGATGAAAAGTATTCTTGGATTCTTCTTTTGAGAAAATTCAGTACTTTATACCTTCGTATCATACCCACCCACACCCACACACGATTCTCAATATTACTCACTGTCACCAGTGAGCCATCATATTAATCAGAAACATGTATTTTAATTTTTTCATGAAAACCACACTGGCACTAATTCACTAAAAAGTGAGAAAATAAAGACAAACAGATTTCAGTAAAACAAGTGGATTATTTAAGGCCTTTTCCCCTTAGGGATTCAATGCTATACTTTACATTTTCAGAGGTTTTACTGTACCAAGTCTTCCCAAGACTACTTTTTTTTTTTTTTTTTGGTACCAGGGATCGAACTCAGGTCCCTGAGCTTGCACAGCAGGCGGCAAAACCACTGAGCTAGATCCCCGGCCCAAGACTACTTTTAATTAGAGAACTTCTACAACCACTGGAACATAGATTCACAAGTCAATTTATTATACATGTTTGGTTAAAGGAAAATAAATATACAAAAACATCTATATGTCTCACCTCCCATCAAACCTGTGCTTCAGGAAATCAAAGAGGGCTTTCTGCATCATGTCTGTTACCTTTGCAGAGGTAAGAAAAAAAGAATGAGGCAAACACATGCAGAGAGAGAGAAGTCAAAAGTGAGAGAAGTGGAAGGGAGGGAGGGGTACTAAGACTGAGCAGAGGCCTCATCATTGGAGCCAGCTGTCTCCCATGGGGAGGTCATCTTAGAAGATGTTTTCCATGCATAACTGAGTGCAGTTGCTGATTCCCGTCCCCCCTCCTTGGTTCTCCTCTACAGTGCTCAGGAATGAACCAGCAGCAATTCACCAGAGCCACAACAAGTCCTTCTTCCTCTTCCCTCATTAGGGGCTGGAGCTGCTGCCAGAAGACAATAGGGTGGCCTTGTACACAAGAGCTAGCCATCATCGACATACCTGAGCTGTGCTTGCTGCTACTGAGGAGCAGTGAGAGGCCCCAAAGCCATCCCTGGGCTCAGCTCTTCTGCTAGTCTGCTTCTTGGTAAGAATTTTCCCTGTTCACTATCCTGCTCCTCACTCTGATATTTCCAACTCAGAGGAAAACACAGAGATGGGATTCTTAGCTCGGTCTCAAGGGATTCATTAATTCATTTAACCAGTGTGTACTAAGTGCATACTCTGTGACAGACATTGTCCTACCTCAGTGGGAATGGTGCCCTGGAGGTTGCCCAACTTTAGATTTAAATGTCACCTCCCCACTATTTTTACCCATGTTTGCATAAAGCCCAAATAGCAACATCTGAAATGCATCCATTTAAGTTTCTACTCTTTTTCTTGTTATGTGGTCAATCTCCAGGATTTGCTAATGCTTTTAGTGGGGTTTTCCCTAAATGTCCTTAAAAAATAAACATGACCAAAAACATTTGGCAAAATATGCCACTGTCTTGAGCACCCAGTAGGGTGAGACTGATTGGTACTTTGAGGGCTCAGGTTTGCTGGAAGACTATGTATCTATTCCCTTGTGCTGTTCATCTTCTACTGTTTCTATTAATAACAGGGAAGGTTGAGATAAAGTTCCGTTCTTTGAATTTAATGCAAAGCAAATCTTTTACCAGAATTTCGCACTGTAAATGTTTCGAGGGAGATATTTCTAAACAGTGTGATGCATAAAAGATGAGAAGTGTGCAAGAAAGGAAAGAAGGGGCAAGGGCCACAAAAACCCTCGCTGCACTACCCTCTTCACTCCTGGGTCTTGGCTTCCACGAGTTCCTATACGTAAACAAACCCTGGAGGAGCAAGCACCCAAAGGACCATCTCCTGGGTTCTTGGTCAAGAGAAGAGTAACAGAAGGTGTTTGTACCTCATAACCTTTGAGTGACGGGCCCACTAATACCACTGGACGCATTGATGGCACAACATCATAAGGAGGAATGTGCTCCGTCTGAAAAAGATGATTCAACATACACGACAAGGTGAGGTTGAACACAATATCTTGACAGCCACAGCACTTAATGATTCTCAAGCAGAACAATACATGATTCCAAGGGTCCCCACCGAGGAGGCTCAGCCCTTACTTGGCAGTCATTTAGGTCACCAAAATGGAGTTTTGCGGGCAAGTATGTATAGGAACCTTAACAGTAAGTTTAAAAAGGAAACACAACTTACCACTTTTTGCTTCTGTTTTGCTAAAAGACAACAATGAGAGCCATATCAAAATACGTAATCTCTGTAAATGATAGTACATGAGTTTAAAAGAAGGAAGAATGCACCCATTTGTCTCTGTAATTATCCTCACCACTTCCCTATCACCCACTCTGTAGAGCACTGTTTTATTACTTTATTCCGGACATGTCACTTTTGAAGAAATATGAGAAACAGGTAACTTCCGTCCTGTATAAATGATCTTCTATCCTGATTTCAAGCTGGGGGCAGGGGGATGCTAGATAGGCATTCATAACAACACTGGAAATGTTTAGCCGACCATTAACCATGGGCTGCTCCTGTGCTAAACACAGCATACAGTGTGGCTGAGGACAAGCCAGACAAAGAAAATGTGATAGAATGAAACAGTAACACTTTGAGCAAAAATGACTATCACCTCACAGTCACTAGTTTTTCAGTATATGCAATGTTGGTGAGCTATGAGATAATTTTTTTTTTTGGTACCAAGGATTGAACTCAGGGCCTTGTGCTTGCTAGACAGACATGGCACCACTGAGCTACATCCCCAGCCCACCATGAGATAATTTTGTAGGTCGTTAGGCATTTTTACCCGTTTTACAGCTTACTAATAGCATTTTTTCTACTATGTTGCTTTCAAACTTCAAATCAATTGATAAGTACTTCTTCTTTTTCTTTCCTGTTTCTTACAGTGAAAAGCTGCCTTGTCCTGGATGTCCAGCAAAGGGGAATGAAGCAAAACACACTCAATATCTGATGAAAGTGGCTTTGTCACCATTCAAGCAGGTCCTGTCTGTTTGGGGGAAACCTAGATGTGTAGTGTGGTTCAGCGTCCTGGAGATCAGGAAGGATTCCTACGAACAAGAACCACTTGCTCACAACTGCTGGAGAGCCAATCCAGTTTTGATATGCATGAATATAGCCTTAGACCTGCCATTCTGAACTGCTAATATCAGATACCCTACTACAGCAACAGTTCTGAGCCAGAATGAAATTAGTCTATAGGAATCAGGAAGGTGATGGAAGAAAAATTTCTGGGTACCTCCATAATTTTCAAAGGCACAACAAACTTCCTTCTGACCCACCACTGTCCTTCCATTATTAATTCTAGGCCTCAGCTGTCTGCTCTTCAAATAGACAAATGAGGTCATCTAGGACCTAGCTTGCTCTTTGCTTCAGCCTTCCCAGTGTTCGTAGCTCAGGTTGTACCAACCCAGTCCTAGTTCCACATGGAGACTGAACACAGCATTGGCTTCAGAGTCTACAGCTCTTTTCTTTCTATTGGCCCTCACCATCCTAGTCTATTGGGTTCTTGGGTAGGGTAATGAACTTGTTGCAAATCAGTTTACACAGTGGACAGCTGCTTATCTCTGAGGTTCACACAATTTTTCAAAGTTATTGTGTAAGGATCTGAATTTTTATATCATAAGTACTCTTCAGCCCAAATTACCATAGAAAGCAAAAGAACAATGAAGTATTAAATAAAAAACCTTTAAATTAAGCCTTTAACTGATTTCCAAATTACTAAAAATGATCACATTTGTGTTCCAATATTTTAAAAGGAACATAGTCCATTAAAAAGACTAACTTAACTCCTCACCTGCTGATGTGGGGGTTGCTCGAAATGTCCCTGATACCATTTCTCCAAGACTTGAAGAAGAATTTCCACTCGATTTCCTAGGATATAGAAAGGAGCTTAAGAGTCACTCTCCAGATTCTTTGAAAATAGAACTTAAAGTATAAGGCTTTCTTTGGCCTTCATTCTACTAAATAATTCAAAACACACCAAATCCTGCTAGAGAGGAACTTCAAGAATCTGTTTCAATGTTTTCTTTAACCTCATTTCTCAGAGAAAATGGAGAAATAATGGGGACCTGAAAACACTTTGCAAAAGTATCTCTTCCACTTACTCCAGGCAGAAATTAGGCAAAAGAATCCCCGGCAGGAACGTACTTGTGAACTGCCTGCCTGCTTAACCAACATCAGTCACCAGTGTGCCAGCCAGAGGTCAAACACAGCTCAAAGCAAGCAGAGAGACCTAGAGGGACAGTTTCTTCCTAAGCATGATTATAAGGAGGTCAGAACTGAGAACTGGGAGAAAGAAGTTAGTGACAAGTAAGGTTATCTGTGACCTGATATGGAAGTTGGTCAGCCTGCGTCCTCATGTGTGCTTTGGAAGTTTCCCTGGAGCCCTCCAAGTCCCTCGGCAGCTTCCCTTCCCACTGCCCGAGTGTCCCTCCCTTCCAGCGCTTCAGAGCATTCTCTGTAGTCAGAGAAATGTGATTTCTCCCCCCTGCCTTGCCACTTCCTAGATGGAGGACCTTGGCATATCATAGTAAGTCTCTGAGCCTTAGTTTCCCTATCTATAGATACAGATGCTAACTGCACCTCCCAGAGTTGGTATAATGATAAAATAAGATCCTGTCTGTGAGTTCTTGGCAATATCGCTGCTCCTGCCACAGAATTAAAATATATAATGATATTATTGAATAGTAATAGTAACAATAAAAGTTTAAAATGACAATAATTTATCTATTATCTTTATTTAAAATATTGATTTTGTATCCTTGTTTTATTTTTCTAAATTTTTTAAAAATTAATTTTATTGGTACATTTTAGGTATATAATATAATGACATTCATCATTGGAGATTTGCACCTTTACATAATCTCTCTTGGTTCTTATCTTTTCCCCATTCCCCTGCCCTCCCTTCAACCCCCTCCATCCCTCCCTATTTACAAAGGGTTTGTTTTCATTTTCTCATATTAATTCCATTCCCTTCTTTCCTCTCCCCTAGCCTTCCCACTTCCCCTTCCCCTTTGCCCCTTTTCTTACTATTTCACTATGGAGTACTACTCAGCCATAAAAAATGAGAAATTAGAGACATTTATAGCTAAATGGATGCACATTGAGGTGATACTCTTAAGTGAAATAAATAGGACACACATGTGTAAATACCGAATAGTTTCTCTAGTGTGAGAAACTGAAAGTGTAAATAAGGACTAAAAGGTGTAATAGATAATGTATCCCTGTTTTAGAAGCCAGGAATACAGTAGTGGGGCCAGGACACAAAATTGTTTTCCTTAATGAATCACATTCTGGTAGGAAACATTAAGTGATAAGAAAATAAGTAAACATATAATACTTCCAAGAGTAATAGACGTAACAGAGAAAACTGTCCAGGAAGGGGTAGAAAATAGAGGGAAGAGGAATGGGCACAATTCTAAATGCCATTAGCAAAAAATGGGTTACGGGCAAGGTGATATTTAACAAAAGTCCAAACCAGAAGAGGGGGTCATCTGCGGGAAATGCAAAGGAACGGGTTTCAGTCTGAGGAAACAGTGAACGTAAAGGCCCTGAGACAGAACCATGTGCTCCCAGAGTGTTTAAGGAAGAGAATGGAAGACAAAATGTGCAGCGAAGAATGAGAAAGAGAATTAATAGGTAATAATAGCTTAAGCATGTTATATCCTAAAATAGGTGAATGATTAAAGAGGGAGGTGGCAGGTGCAAATTGGTAGTAGAGTATATGGTTCGCGTGCATGAGGCCCTGGGTTTGATCTTCAACACCAAAAACAAAATAAAACAAAAAGTGGGGCTAACTGTATTCTATGACCTTCTATTACTGACAAGGACAAAAGGGATCCTAAGAGTTTTTGAAATAGAGTCCAACATAAACTGAAAGTTGAAAGTCAAGAGAAAGAACAGATTCTAGCCGGGGATTTAGCTCAGTGGTTCTGGCGCCTGCCTCACAAGCACACGGTCCTAAGTTCGATCCCTGGTACCAAAAAAAAAAAAAAAAAGAAAAGAAAGAACAGATTCCAGCTCATGGCTTTCAAAGAAATTACTACACATATCAAATCAATGTCTCAGCCCAGCCTGCAGCACAGTATTTGCAGGCTTAGAGTGTCTCGGATTTCTCTTCTCTGGAGCTGTGCTTGCATTCCTAGGACCTTTAGCCACCTGCTCTCTGAGGTCCACGTGCTGCTTCATTAGTTCACCAGACGCCAATTCACCCAAGTTACACAGGAGATGGAAGAGAAGACCAGGTGCAGAAAGTGCTGCTAGTACTGTCCATGCCCCATCTCATTCTGTGCCCACTTGAGACAGCCTTTGCAAGCGCACCAAGAAAATCCATAATGCCAGGCAGGCTGTTCTGAGAAACAGTGCCCTGCATGACTCTCAGAGGAAAGCCTGATCCCCGAGGAGGATTTGCTGAGACCACAGAAAGCAGACTCCACTGTGGAGTTCATGTGGATTCCAGGGATGTGGAGCATCAGCGAGCTATGGGAGACAGTGGAATCCAAAACCCTTTTGTGTCCATCTCAGAAACAGCCGCTACACAGAAAAGTGTCCTTTACTTTAAAAGTATACTTTTTTTTGTAATTGCACATTTTGGTATAATTTAATAAACAACTCTTTAGGTGTTACTGCTTATGTCTAAATTTTTTTTGTGTGTGTTTTTGTCCTTCTGAGTCTTTGGTCTTCTTTTTGTTCCGGTTCCTATTTTTCACACTGTGTTTCACAGTAGCGTACACCAACTTGTTTGGGCTGCTGCTGCCGTGCTGCTCGCCTTCGTTCCTTAGATGTAAGCATCCTTTGAGTTTTACTTGACTGTTCCTCTTCTCTTTGTGCCTTCCGCTTCCTTCCCTTTTTAGTATGTGCTGTTTCATTTACTTCTTCTTTAGGTGTTTCTTTTCGTTCTTCAGACTTTGCAAACCCTTTCCACTTAACCCCTTGGATATCCTGACTGCTGAAAACTTTTTACCCTTGGCTTTGTTTAAAACCTTCTGGTATTTTGCAATCTTCTCATCCAGGGCTTTTATCACTGCTTGGTGTCGTTTCCCACTTGCTCTTCTTGGGACTCCTGATGAGCCTCTTCCTTGACATCTGGCTGGTCCTGCTCCTGCTCCTCCTCCTCCTCAGAAGCAGAAAAGCTCTCTAGCTCTTCCTCGCCTTCTGACACCTCCACAGGAACCAGGTCATCCCCAGAAAACTGGGGCACGACATTGATTTTGCTGAAGTTCTGTCGAACCCGTGCAAGGATCTGCTGCATTTCAGAGTTAGCATCACAGGGATGGTCCTCTTCTTTTTCTCTCTCAATGACAGATTCTGAAACTTCACCTTTGGTCTCTGCAGTCTCTTCCAAGTTGTTCTGGGTTCTTTCAGTAGCATCTTCCAAAGATGAGGAAGGGGGAAGCTGGGGGCTTGCAGGCGCCTCTGCATTGGGTGGTTTGACAAAGAAAGGGGTCCGGCCCCGCTGCCAGTCGTTAAGGACCATCTTGCCCACAGTCTTTAAGTCAGGCTCTCCACCCTTTAATAATTTCCCAGTGCGGAAAGCAAGCTTCTCAAGAAAGTCCCCAGCATTTGCCCATGAATCAGTCTTGTATGTCTTACTGATATATTCTGGTTTTGCTCGTTCTAGGACAGCACCAATGTGGTCTTCAGGAGACTTAATTTTTTCAACTTGAACAACTCCTTTCAGCACAATGTCCGACTCTGAGTCCTCAGAGGGGTAAACCACACCTGGACAGTCAATGAGGAATATCTGACGCACCACGGTAATATACTGCTAGACGTTTGTTTCACCTGCAATGCGGGCCACATTGCAAACTTTCTTGGAACACAATGTGTTGATCACGGAGCTCTTGCCAACATTTGGATAGCCGATGAAGCCAATGCTGATCTGTTTCTTGTCAGTGTGCAACTTTCCAAACTGCTGCAGAAGCTGAATGAATGCTCCTTTGCCAAAGGGGTTAGTAAGACTTGCATGGAAAGCTAGTGTTGGATACTCCTGGGAGAGGACAGCATCCCATCGTTTCGTTGCCCAGGTTGGAACAAGGTCGCATTTGTTCAGTACAAAAATAAGATGCTTCCAGGGTTTTTCCTTTTTCAAGTAAGCCGCAGTGTGGGGGGAACGGGTACCCATTGGATCTCTAGCATCAAGAACTTGGACTACAACATCTGATGAATCTATCACCTTGTAGAGCTCACCCATATTCTTTTGGACTGTCCTTTCTTGTACATCTCTTCCTGGGTTTCATTTCTCACACCAGTGTGTTTGGTTACCAAATTGCGATCCTTGCCCTGGTCATAGCTCTCAGTGGATATCTCAGCTTTTTCCATCAGTGACTGCATATCACTCGCAAATAAATTTGGCCGCTTTCTCTGTGACTTAGGATCAAACATAGTTTCAAAACTTTCGGTGTCAAGAATGTGCACCTTGGAGTTATGAGGCTGGATTTGGTCACGGAGAAGAGACATTGGTAACTTGCTTTGCTTCATGACAACTTTATACGGATCCTTCAGAACTGTATCCATTTCCTCTTGAAATTTCTGTAATGAAGACTGCTTAATCACACGTGTGTTTCCAAACCATTTAATATTTGGCTCTACTCATGCCACTGTGCCAGAAGCCACCATTGATTGATACTACAGAGGCTTAATCACTTTCCCACGACTATTCCTGCGCTCCTTTTGCCTATACATGTTCAGGCGCCTGACTGTAGCCCGGTCCTTCATGTTTTGTCCTCCTGCTCCCTGCACTCGATCCGGGTTGGTGCTGGACTTGGAGGGGTTGATGGTGCTCCGTCCTTTGTACTTGGGCTTCACCATCTTGCCAACGGGACAATGACCGGTCTGGCTTACTGGGTAAATGACCTCGGAACTTCCCCGGCCCAGCCAAAGGGAGCCACGTTAAAAGTACACATTTTAATTCCCTAAATTATTTATTCCACTGTATCAAAAATATTTTAATATATATGCTGATTCATCCAATTCATTTTATTTATACTAGTTTCTCTTAACTCACTGAAAAAAGTTTTGTGCTATTATCTGTTTATTTCTTTGCAAGAATTATTTTTGTGTCTGAGTAACTACTTTGAAGATAATGATACCAGTGTATTAACTATTGTTATTCTCTTATTTTGTTATGAAACTTTGTTTTATTTTTTCATAAAATAAAAAAATAAAAGCATGCATTTTTGACATAATAAATAGGCAAACTTGAAAACATCATCTAATTTTCCTACTGAACAAAAGCTTACGAAAAGGAAGGGGCCTTACCCTCCATGAAAACGTCCTCTTTTCTGTTCCTGCTGAATCCTTATATTCTCCAATCTGAGTGGACTTGGGATGAAACCAATCTCACAGCCCTCTTTCACAAGCCTTCCTATCCACCAGTCATTGTTGTATTTCTGAAGTACAGAAAGAAAACTACCATTAGTACTGATTCACTTATCCACACAGGCTGGTAATTAATCTCAGGGGACCAGAAGAACAAAACAGTATTTACATGATATACCACTACATCATACAGCCTATACTGTATATAAATACTACTGATATTATATTCTGCCTTAAACATTATAGTACATATTTGAGGTTCATAGGGTGGTGAAGAAGGGTTCTGCAGACTTTTTTCTATAAAGGCCTTGACAGCAAATATTTTAGGCTTTGCAGGCCATATGGTCCCTGCCACAACTACTTCAATCTTCTGTCCAGGGTGACAGCAGCCACAGACCCATCAACAAGTGAACATGGTTATGTTTCAATACAACTTTTCTTTATAACAAAGGTATTGGCCCAGCTCTGACCTGTGGACTATAGTTTTCCAACATATAAGTCCTAATCTTTAGATTCCTTTGGTCCTTGTAAAGAAGCCCTAGTCAACTCCTAAGGAATAGATTTTTGTCAGGCAAAATATTAATCGGTGTAAATGGAACTTGGAAAGCAAGATAGGTATGTCTCAGATTAAATACACTGAATAATAGTCTTATTTGTTAGAAGTTTTCAGGTAAAAATTACAGTGCTGGCAGGCTTAGTGGCACACATCTGTAATCCCAGCACTTGCGAGGCTGAAGCAGGAGGACTGTAAGTTCGAAGCCATCCTAAGCTACATGACAAGACCCTCTCTCAAAAAAACAAAAAGAAAAACAAATCTAAAATACTGTCTGTAGTCTATTTTCTTTTAAATACAGATTTGCAAATTATGGCCCATCTCACTATTTGAAGAAAAAGAAACCAGTCTATTTTTACAAAGCCCAAGTATATTAAAAACTTGTATGTGAAATTTTGGAATAATCTCCAAGTGGCCTGAAGCCAACAAGAATCCCAACATTTCCACTTCAATAATGTTTCATATAAACCTGGGACACAAAGTCCACAAGGCTCAATGTGAGAGTAGACTCTGTCAATATAGCCTTATGTGATGGGTCAACAAAACTACATTTATAATTATTGGCTTGCTAAATCCTGGGTAGAAAGCAATTTAGTCCAAGCCATTTGCCTCTGAAAAAGGCTCAGCTGGTTTATTTCTAGAAAACAGGTATCAGACCTAAAAACTTCCAGAGCTGGTTCTAAAGATTTCCTTTATTATCTTTGCCAGACAACTCTATCTATATATCCATCTATCTATCTATAGCTCAAATGAAATGACTCTACATAGGACATTTTGCTTAGCTCAGAGAAAAATAGGATTTGTGTGCCTGTGATACTGACACATTGTGAAGGAAGAATGGATGATTTAATTGAATCATCATGGCATGAAATTCTGAGTAACTATGAGTTACTCAGTAACTCTTACTCAATTCTGAGTAAGAGCCTCACACCCGAAAGAAAATGACAGGGTAAGATTTGGTCCTTATTATGCTTGCAGCTCCTACAGAAGGCATGTAGAACTTAAAGTATGAGACTGTATTGAAGAAATGTTAGTTGGCCTAATATGAAATCTTGAACAATCTAGGTCTTACTTTTTCTCCTCTTTTATTGCAGGAAATAGGACTAAAGTAACAGGCCTGTTTATTTTGTAATTAAGAAAAGGCAAGCAGACTCCCTCAGAAGCTTTGGTGCATAGGTTTGGAATTTAAATTTTATTGTAGTGGGGATAAAACAGACCATGAGTCATAGTTTTCCCAGGGCTTTAGTTATTTCCTAAAATTAAGTTAGTCTACTGGAATACTAATTTGTTAAATGGTACCCAAGTGACCTTAAAGGGTTTCCTAAAATTGTTAATATATTTCTCAAAATGGTTTAATTTAATTCTCAGAAACAGCCAAAGTACACTAAGACTCTGACTCATCTGAGTGAAAGTTCTTTGAGCTACTTAGGAGAAAGTTGCTATGTAAATACAACAACTTAATTCAGTCATCATTTGGCTTATGGGACAAGCATCAGTGTTACTTTTCTTTGGCTTTAAGCGTTTTCATTACTGACAAAATACTTAGACTGGTGCATAAGAAATGGCCTAGGTGATGGATGAGAAAAAAAGGCTACAACCCGATTTCAGAAATGTGTTCATTTGCACTGCTGATGTTCTGAGAGCTTGTTCCAGCTTTCTGGAAAGGTCACCTTAGTGGTGTTCCAGTGATTTTTATTTTTATTTTCCTAAAATAATTAGTACTTTTTCTTTCTAAGATTTTTATCTGATCTTTCCAGACCTGACAATGAGTGGTTCCAATCTACACAGGATTAACAATTCAATACCACATACGAAACTACCAGACTGAAGACAAAGTTCCCAATAAACAAGCAAATAATCCAAAAGCAATCAACGAGACAAATCAGAATTCTGACAGGAGCTCAAAGGCTCCAAACTCAAAGTAATGATAAGGTGAGGAAAACGCTAATTACCCTAATGTTATCAGTACACACTCATACGGTGTACATGGACTGAGGCATCACACTCAATAAATATAATTATTATATGTTAATCAAAAACCTTTTTTTTGGGTATCAGGGATCGAACTTGGGACCTTGTGCTTGCGAGGCAGGCAGCAGAACCACTGAACTAAATCCCCCGCCCAAAAACTTCTTTTGAGACAGGGTCTCACTATGTGACCCAGGCTGGCCTTGAACTTGAGGGGATCCTCTACCTCAGGCTCTGAGTGCTGGGATTACAGGCATGTGCCACACCTGGCTCAAAATCGTTTTTAAAAAATTTAAGGTGGTGGAAATGTTAACTACCCTGATTTAATCATTGCATATTATATGAACATATCAAATGATCACACTGTGCTTCATAAATATGTATAATTACAATAATAATTTAGAAAAAAGGGGCTGGGGATTTAGCTCAGTGGTTTCACCGCCTGCTACACAAGCCCAAGGACCTGAGTTCGATCCCCGGTACCAAAAATATAATTAAGAAAACAATCTTGGTAGAATATGAGGAAGCAATAAAATAGAGCAAGGCTGGAATGTTTGTGTGAACAAGTATGCATGTAGCATGCTAAATTTTAGCAACTCATATGGCTTGGTCTTTTTTATGCAAATTGTGAGACAGAATCAAGGTAACCATGTCTAGGGCATGTTTCAGGGTACAGCGCCCTAGGGTCTAGGTAACTGTGGTTATCATCACCTTGCACCATCGAGAGAGGAGAAGTCATGAAGGTGATGCTTCTGCCATGGCTCTGAGCTACCTGTATTCACATGCATCTTTTTTCCTGTCACCATGAATACGTATTCCTCTTTCAAGGTCCACTCAGGGCCGGGATCCTGTCCTTCCTGCTGCTCAAAAACTTTACTGCTGTGCCCATCTCTCTCCTCTGTCCACTGTTAATGTCAACATGTGCAAGGACTTCAATAGCTCCCACCTAGAAAGAAGACTTCATGCCTTGCCTGGTCAGTGTCATCCTCCCAGAAAGCACATGTCAAATGCCTTTCCCAGGGCCCACTATCTCCCGGTTCCCCTTGGTTTGGTTTCCATCTCCACAGTCCATTGTTGAATGCAATTTCAAGAATAGTAATTTTCAAAACTAATTCCATTATTCACTATCTCACTTTGGACTGGGGAGTAAGGACAGGTGGACTCAGTGGCACTAAGTGGTGTGTTTATGTTGGTTACATTCTTCAGCTACTCCCACTCTCGGGTTTCACTTTATTGTTCTTCCTTTGTGCTGTCCTTTCTTTAAGATCCTATGTCTAAGCCCTCGCTCCTAACAAAGCAAGTGGAGACCACCTGGTGGGAACATCTTCAGTGCACACCCCTAGCCCCACTGGAAAATTCTATGCAGAACAAGGAGGTTCAAAGAAGGTGAGACTTCGCTGCCATCTTGGCCTAAGTCCTGTGCCCACCCTCCACATGCTCTCTCCTCCAGCCCCTCATTTGATGAGCTTTCCCTTTTCCTTTCAAAATATTTTACTGAGTTCAACAACTCAGCCCATAAAATAGAATCTTTCTCATCCTGGAAAGCAGAAGTGTACATCAGATTACCAAAATGTTTCTTCTATCTTGATGATATCCTCCCCTGCCTGGAACTCCTTCTTCCTTTCAACTCAAAGTACTTAGAAAAAACACATTATAATTCTTCTCCTCTGGCCTCCATATAATGTAGGTAAGGGCCTTCCAAGCATCTTCACGGGGAGTTCCACAATGCCCCAGATACAGGTACCCAAAGCAAAATTCATAAATACATCCACTCCTGTAACAAATCTGCTTACGCCCCTGCCTTCTCTGCTTTGGTACCTGATATGAGGCTTCTGGCCTTCCAAGCAAGCCATTCTCTCACATTCCCCACTATTCCCATCCATACGAGATCTCCAAATCCGTGTATATGCCTTGTAACTCTCTCTCTTCAAGCTGCTTCCTCTCCTCTCCTCTCTGCTACAGCAGCTGTCCAGCCTTTGGCATGTCACGCCAGCCCTGTGCAATGGTCCCTTGCCCATTACAATTATCACTCTAACATATGAAGCCAGTCACATCTGTCCATCTGGTAAAAGAATGCTCGTGGGCATTCTTTCTGCCTAATGCTACCCCTTCTCCTGACCTGGACTCCTTCAGACTTCTCTACTTCTGTAGGGCTTTCTAGTCCCCTGATCTTCTTATCAACATCTTCCTATCAACAGGTAGTCTCTTCTTTTTCTTTGGGCTCTCACATTACCCACCCAGTGTTTCTATAATAGAACTTATTCTCTGTTGTGGAAACTATGTATATTTCTCTGTTTCTCCCACTAAACTCAGCACTCCCTGTCCATGGGGACAGTGATCCTTGTGTCTGATCCTCATGTCTGATCCACCAATGCCTAGCAAAATGTCCAACATAAAGTAGAATGTCAGTGTACCTTTGCTGAGTAAATGAATGCTTTTGATGTCACTATTCCATATGCCTAGATGTGCAGCCACAAGTCCTTGTATTGCCCAAGCCCTGAAGGTCTGTTTCCCAGAGTTCTTTGTCCTTTTCTTAGCTTTAACATTTTCCTTTAATGACCATATACTCTGGTGTTGGTCCCAAGGGCACAGTTTATAGGACTATAGCCTAGTATTCATAATTATAGCATCCCTTGTTACAGTCCCTTCTGAGTAGGAGCCATGCCACACATATTTCTCTAAGTTGGACTGACAGATTTATGGCTCTGTAGCAATGCAATGTGGTTAAAAGATGGGCCAGAAGGGCCGAGGATATACCTTAGCATACAAGAGGCCCTGGGTTCAATCTCCAGTGCTGCAATTTAAAAAAAAAAGATCAGCTGGAGTAGAGCTCAGGAGTAGAGTGTCTACTTAGAATGTGCAAAGCCCTGGATCTGATTTGTGATGCTGCAGGGGAAAAAAGTGAGAGAATCACAGGACTGTCTTCAACCCGTCCTAGAATTTCAAAAGTTGACCATGACCAGCATCGTAATGAGTGTGTGGTAGTGTAGACAGTGATCTCAAGCTTAAAGTCTTGCTGAGAATGAACAGCTGGGGAAGGCCCAGAAAGTTCTAAGAGGCACCATTTTGGCAGCTCTTCAGGTCTCCTTTCTGGTGAGTTTGGCTCAGAGCCGATACCCGGAGGCTTTGTCTTTTCGGCAGGTAGAGAGATACGGCAGGTCCCACATTTACCTCTTTGATGTGCAGAAAGTCCTTGGCATCAAAGGAGATGGCCGTGCTTGGAACGGGCACGTCTTCATCTAGGGCGCCACAGTAGCTCACGTTCGTCTTCACAGCAAATGCTACGGGTTTGGACTAGAGACAGAGCCAGCCATAGGGTAAGAAGGGAGGGAGGCGGAAAGGGAGGGGCTTCCTCGTGTTGGAATGGAGCCCGAGATGACTGATAGCTCCAGACAGGAAAGGAAATCACTTTGCAAAGAGGAATCTCCACTGGGTTTTGCATTTGTAGGCAATATCAAGAAATCCACAGAGATGACTCTGAAAATGATTCATTCCTACCATCTTGTTCCTCTCCTGTGGTGCTTTCCAAAACCTCAAAGAACTACCTCCAGAAGTACTGGGGAGAGGTGGAGAGAGGTGGAGGCAGTTTACTTTGTTCACTGGGCATAAAAGCTATCTATTTTAAATGGTAACAGACACCTTCTCACCTTGGAATACAAGAAAGATGTGCTAGGAGTCACGCAGAAAAACAAGGGTGGGGGTGCTAGAATATTGTTTTAAAAGACTCAGATCTGAAAACATGAGAACATCTTCTCCTGCCAGGAAAAGGAAGGGTTTGGGCCTGGGTTAAATAAGATGAACAGGGCTCTCTTCCCCCACCCCATCTCAAAAAAAGAAACAAGAAAATAAAATTGTGAACTTCACTTTGAACTTGAGGTGGAAGATTAAAACCTAGAGAGAGAAGAGTACAAAAACCAATAGGGAGCTCCAGAGAACAACAGGGCATGTGTGGCCTACAAGGGACAAGAAGGGGCCAAAAGCAAGAGCACAAGGGGACACATTTGGAAGCTCTTTGCCAATAATGGGTATGGCTTGGCATTGCCACACTGCTGAGCTGGAAAATGACCAGTAATTCACCATCTAACCAAAAATAAAAGGGGGAATGGCCTTCTCTCTTGGGGATGTTACTAACCTCTCTTAGGGTGACTGCACCAGAGAGCCTCACAACCTGGAGCTTTAGCAGGACGATCAGAAAATGAGAATCCAGAGAAATGTGAGGAAGGGCAAGGGCAGCTGACAGCACCTGAGAACATGCCAGTGTTGAACCAAAGGAAGGGAAGAAAGTCACCTTTGCTCTCTCAAGCTGGATAGCTGCTTGCTGCTCTCTCTCCTGCCGAATTGCTTCCCGGTCCTCTTCCAAAGAGACATCAGAGTCAGATGGCCTGCTTGTGTAGGAATCTGCTGAACCCTGGAGACAGAACACAAAATAGCTTAAGTGAGGTGATGTGTAGCTTCTTAACTTGTCACAGCCATAACAGTATGCTGGGGTAGGTTCCTTTCATGTGCATAGAATCTGATGCATACATTCTGTGCCTCACTGCAGATGTAAATTTAGATGGCAGAATACAGTTAAGCATCTGAGTTATTTGGGAGGTAGCAATGTAACGAAAGAAAACATTTTGACTAGATTGTTAGGAAGTAAAATGAACGAAAATGATATGATATTCAGCCCAATTCTTATTTTGTACTATCTTTGTATTAAGCCCAACACATTTGTGAAACAAAGTTTTCATTCATTTTCTCTTTGGTATATATTGTACGTCTAAAGGAAAAAGAGACTCAGCTTATTACATGAGTCAAACCCTACCTGTATCACAGGTTACAAATCATCGGTTTGTCTATTACTGCAACACGGCAAAGCAGTATCCTACATTAGCAAAATGATTTTCTAGTTTCAAGGCCAACATTATCGAACTCTTTCACTCTTAAAACTTCAACCGTTGTCCTACAGCAGCCCATATAACGTCAGTATGGACAGGGAGCAGAAAAAACACCTTGAGAGCAAACAGGTGCTCTAAATTTAAGCCACACCCAGAAGGGCTATTTGAGCAACATTGAAATTCAGACTGAAAGCCAAAAGACTTGGAGTGCCCAATATCACTTGGCCACAGGAAGAGGAAAAACCAGAGCTTCTAGTCAAAAAGTTTTCCCCCAACCTCCCAAAACACAACCCTAGAGGTCTCCCTTCTGGCTACTAAAGGAACACCATCGTTATAATTTCCTTAAGCTGGTGTTAGAAGTTGATATTTGCATAGATGATGACATTTACAAAGCAGAGGTATTGGTAGAAATGGTGTATCGGCATGTTTCATAAATCATGTAAAGACATTTTTTAGAAGCATAAATTTGTCCACATGGTGGAGAATTTGCTATTTAGTGCAAAAAAAAACTTAAAAAAAAAAACAGCTGACAGCTGAAATTGGCCCTTTTGAAGTTTGTCTAAACTTATAGATGTTTATTGTGAATCTGCTGCCTTTATAGGCTGGGCAACTTTCTCTCATCATCAACTTTCCCATGATGGGGAAACCCCAGCACTGATTATCCTGGAATCCTGAAACAAAAACTCCTGGTAAAGGTTTTATCAGAATGCCCACCAAACTTTGGTTCTGAATTCTACCTTTGCAACATTCAAAAACTTTCTTTAAGTTAATCAGTCACTCTGAGACAGTCTCGTCCTCTGTAAAACAGGAACACCAACTACTTCACAGGATTAAATGGACTAAGATACAATGAGCAGCTAGTATTTATCGAGTGCTCACTATTGTACTGGCATGGGCCTAGATGCTTTCTCACACTGAATTCTTGCCCCAGTGGGGAAGCTGAGATTTGAATTCAGTTAGTTCAATCTTAGAACCAGCAGGTTCAAATCCTACACTGAGTTGCACTTGATAATAAAATACTCCAGGATCTGAAACACAGTAGGTGCACAGTAAATCCTCTCATCTCTATTTCCTGGGCCTGACATTTCTACACTGACTTAAAAAAATAATTAAGAGAGGTGGGGATGCAGCTCAGTGGCAGAGTACTTGCCTAGAATATGCAAGGCTTCAGAATCATTAAGTCCCCAGCACTGAAAAAAATGAATTAAGAGATTCTAATCATTTTTCAACTTACTTATACATGTACAATAGCCCATCTTGAGATTTTGCCAATTTTTTACTAAATAGAAAACATGATATAAATTTAATAACTGCAAGGTGTCCAAATCCATCTATCTAATGTAGAACTTTTCAAAGTGCCCTTTATAAAGACAATGAATTTGTTAACCAAATTACAATCAAATTCCTCTGAACAAATCTATTGGGGAAAAAAATTGGACACACAAAGGGGTAAATGCAGGGTGACTTTTATAGATGCATTCATTGCTTAAAAAGAGAGCCACCTTGAAATCCTTTAAAACAGAGAGTTCTATTAGAACATATCTTTTGTTCAAATTTAGGTACACCTGCATAAAATCTAGCCTGAGGGAAAGGAAACAATGTTTCTAAAATATCTACGCAGAGTTTGAAATTTGTCTTTTGCTGTGCTTTGCTGAAGGGTGATATGTGGGTGTCCTTTCCCTCACACTGCACTGGTTATCCTGAGGACATCTGGACCCTAAAGCAATTAATACACTGATGTCAGCAAGGAGCCACTTGCCATGTTTCAGGGAGCACATGCTGGGGAAGGCTAGGGACCCCAGCTAGCAAGAAAGCAGGCTGAGCCTAAAATCCCAGCACTCTGGAAAGGTTGCAAGTTGGAGCCCAGCCCGGGCAATTTAGCAAGACCTTGTCTCAAAAAATAAGATAAATAGAGTAGGGATGCAGCTCAGTGTGAAGGCCTTGGGTTCAATTCCCAGTACTGGAAGAAAGGAAGGCAGGGAAAAGAAAGCTGTCTAGTGGAGCAGTGAGTCACAAGCTAAAATACACAATTCACTCTTGCCACCAAATGATGTCTAATTTCCGTAAATTACTTAACAACTTTCATATCCTGCCATTCAGTCATCTCTGAGCACACAAGAAGTGACTCAGGAACTCCTGCAAATGAACTTTTTTTTCTTCCCCCATTAAATTTATTGGTACATTTTAGATATAAAATACATTTACATACATCATTGGGATCTTGTACCTTTACATGAGTATCTTGGTTCTTATTTTTTTCCCCTTCCCCTGCCCTCCCTTCACCCCCCACCCTTCCCTATTTGCAAAGATTTTGTTTTCATTTTTTTCCCTTTCTCATATTTTTTCTTTTCCCTTCTTTCCTTTCCCCTACACTTCCCACTTCCCCTGCTCCTTTAGAACTTTACTTCCTATTACACAATATCAATTTTACATTTTAAAAATTACAATATCAAGACCTAGGAGACATTACCACAGATTTTACAGAATTTAAAAGGATATAGAAAGCATATTTTAAAAATCTGTTTTGAAATAAATTTGACAACTTCTAAGAAGTACCTTGGAAGACAAATTAATGAAACTAACTCTGGAGGAAATATAAAATTTGAA